CCCACTGTGATATCTCCACCCGTTTGGGTTACTAATACCCACTGTGATATATCTATCCATTAAGGTTACTAATACCCAGTGTGATATCTCAATCCATTATGATTACTAATACCCAGTGTGATATCTCAATCCATTGGGGTTACTAATAACCACTGTGATATCTCCACCCGCTTGGATTACTAATAACCACTGTGATATCTCCACCCGCTTGGGTTACTAATACCCATTGTGATATATACACCCATTGGGGTTACTAATACCCAGTGTGATATCTCAATCCATTAGAATTACTAATACCCGATGTGATATTTCCACCCGCTATGATTACTAATACCCACTGTGATATTTCCATTCATTAGGATTACTAATAACCACTGTGATATCTCCACCCGTTAGGGTTACTAATACCCACTGTGATATATCCATTCATTAGGGTTACTAATACCCACTGTGATATATCCATTCATTAGGGTTACTAATACCCACTGTGATATATCCACCCATTGGGGTTACTAATACCCACTGTGATATATCCACCCATTTGGGGTTACTAATACCCAGTGTGATATCTCAATCCATTAGAATTACTAATACTCGATGTGATATTTCCACCCGCTAGGAATACTAATACCCACTGTGATATCTCCACCCGTTAGGGTTACTAATAACCACTGTGACATATCTATCCATTAAGGTTACTAATACCCAGTGTGATATCTCAATCCATTAGGATTACTAATACCCAAGTGTGATATCTCAATCCATTGGGGTTACTAATAACCGCTGTGATATCTCCACCCGTTTGAGTTACTTATACCCAGTGTGATATCTCAATCCATTAGAATTACTAATACTCGATGTGATATTTCCACCCGCTAGGATTACTAATACCCACTGTGATATCTCCACCCGTTAGGGTTACTAATAACCACTGTGATATATCTATCCATTAAGGTTACTAATACCCAGTGTGATATCTCAATCCATTAGGATTACTAATACCCAGTGTGATATCTCAATCCATTGGGGTTACTAATAACCACTGTGATATCTCCACCCACTTGGATTACTAATAACCACTGTGATATCTCCACCCGCTTGGGTTACTAATACCCACTGTGATATATCCACCCATTGGGGTTACTAATACCCAGTGTGATATCTCAATCCATTAGAATTACTAATACCCGATGTGATATTTCCACCCGCTATGATTACTAATACCCACTGTGATATTTCCATTCATTAGGATTACTAATAACCACTGTGATATCTCCACCCGTTAGGGTTACTAATACCCACTGTGATATATCCATTCATTAGGGTTACTAATACCCACTGTGATATTTCCACCTGCTAGGATTACTAATACCCACTGTGATATCTCCACCCGTTAGGGTTACTAATAACCACTGTGATATATCTATCCATTAAGGTTACTAATACCCACTGTGATATCTCAATCCATTAGGATTACTAATACCCAGTGTGATATCTCAATCCATTGGGGTTACTAATAACCACTGTGATATATACATCAATTAAGGTTACTAATACCCAGTGTGATATCTCAATCCATTAGGATTACTAATACCCAGTGTGATATCTCAATCCATTGGGGTTACTAATAACCACTGTGATATCTCCACCCGCTTGGGTTACTAATACTCACTGTGATATCTCAATCCATTAGGG